GTTACCATTTAAAGTATTTATAGAAGATAAGCCATTTATATTTCTAAATAGACCAATTTCACATCAATCTAAATATAGCAAAGGAGAAAAATAAACAAAAAAATTAAAAAGGAAAAGAAACAAGAGAAAAAGTGAAGGGAATGGGATTTAGGGCCAGTAGGATGGAAAGGCGAGATCTAAGATCAGAATATATTGAGTTCTAATTTAGAAAGTGGCGATTTAAGCAATTAGGGGTTTAATTTAAATTTCTGAAATATGTCTAAGATAGATTGTATTTTTTATTGTTAATATAATTTGCTGATTTCATATCGTTTTTTTTAATTTTGATATGAAATGCTGGAAAGTGTGGTTTGGTTTTTATGAAATTAATTTTGCAAAGTTATTTGTGGAAGTGGAGGAAGTTGAGTCGTACCTGTTTGATCATTTGCCCGTTGCTGCTGAAAACTGCCAGCGGCGTCCCGGTGTTGTCCGAAGCGATGTAGTATTCCTCTCCGCTGCTCACCTCCATTGCAAACAAGTGACCCTGATGAGGAGATGGTTCAATAAAATCAACCTCACATTCCAACAGCCTTTAGCACAGTTTACTCAGGGTTTATACAGGAATGAGGGACTCTAATTCAATGCTCTTTTATTGCTGCTAGAAATAATTTTAATGCCATCAAAATGTACCCATGACTCTCATATATCCTGTTACCGTCAACAGGCTGCAGCCTGAACTCCTCGTTTTCTTCCCACTGTTGATGACATTTGCATTTTCCTAATTCTCTAGATTTTTCTCCAAATCGAGCTTCTTTTCCAAAAATACGGCTTTATGATCAACCAGTAGCATCTCCGCACAAACGAGCGGAACCAGTTATATCTGATATATTGTATCTGACAAAATTGTTTTTATAAACTTAAAAAAAAAAGCATTTTAAATGCCACAATAATCATATTAATATTTAATGAATTTTAATGATTTGTAATGACCTGTGGAAACTGCTCCGTAGCAACGTTCACCAAAACTGACTGGTAAAGATGGAGGAAAAGCCTTAAAGGAATTCATGCTTCAATCTTATCTTCAAATGAGTTTTTTTTAGTTGTTTTGGTTTTATTTTGTTTTACTAGACAGAGTCTACCAGATTTCCATCAAATCTGGAGCTATTTTAGGGATTTATTATTCCAGGCCCTCTAACAAGGATCCCAGCAGGAGCAAAGCTAAAGGGGATGATGATTGGTTGCCATGGTCACCCTCTGGCTAATCATTGGCCGCCCATTTCACCACCTAAAGAAGATTGTGGCAGCAGTGGTTCACTCAGCTGGAATTTGACTATTTTAAGAAAAAATAAATAAATAAATAAATAAATATATATACCGGTATATGAACTGTAATTTAGAATGGGGCACCATTTGTAAATTTAAAGGGGAACACCTATTTTTTTTTTACATATACGTCATACACACTCCGCTTTGTTTTAAAACATGGAAATATAAAAAATCTAACGGCGGATGTCTGGGGGACAGTGATTGGCCTCCATGTTCTGAATGCTGGCGTACCATAAAGAATAAATGATGAACAGTTTCGTTTGTGCCTTCAAGTCGTTGCCCATAGGAAGACGTTACTGGATATAACCTAACTGAATATCTTCAGAACGGCTCCAAATGACACTAAACTCTTATGGGTGAGTAGAACATGATGGAATAACGGAAAATCAAGGACCAAATGGAAAAAAAACAGTGTTCCCCTTTAAGCAGTCAAAAATTTGTAGAAATATTTATGGTTATTTAGCGTGTTTTAAGAGAAAAGTAAAGGGTTTATTTCCAAGTCAATTTCAAGTCATTTTTTCATTGTGTCATTGATTCATTTATAAAAACCTTACTTTGTATAAATATATACAAAAATAAATAAATATTTAGTTTAGAGCAAAATATTTATTTAACAAACTAAATATTTAGTTTAGAGCAAAATATTTATTTAAC